CCCACTGACACCAACGATGGGGCACTATTCCTCCCCCCACTGACACCAACGATGGGGCACTATTCCTCCCCCACTGACACCAACGATGGGGCACTATTCCTCCCCCCACTGACACCAACGATGGGGCACTATTCCTCCCCCCACTGACACCAACGATGGGGCACTATTCCTCCCCCCACTGACACCAACGATGGGGCACTATTCCTCCCCCCACTGACACCAACGATGGGGCACTATTCCTCCCCCCACTGACACCAACGATGGGGCACTATTCCTCCCCCCACTGACGCCAACGATGGGGCACTATTCCTCCCCCCACTGACGCCAACGATGGGGCACTATTCCTCCCCCCACTGACGCCAACGATGGGGCACTATTCCTCCCCCCACTGACGCCAACGATGGGGCACTATTCCTCCCCCCACTGACGCCAACGATGGGGCACTATTCCACCCCCCCACTGACGCCAACGATGGGGCACTATTCCTCCCCCCACTAACGCCAACGATGGGGCACTATTCCTCCCACTCCCACTCATACCAATGATGGGGCACTATTCCTCCCACTCATACAATGATGGGGCACTATTCCTCCCACTGATACCAATGATGGGGCACTATTCCTCCCACTGATACAATGATGGGGCACTATTCCTCCCACTGACACCAATGATGGGGCACTATTCCTCCCACTGACACCAATGATGGGGCACTGATTCCTCCCACTCATACCAATGATGGGGCACTATTCCCCCACCACTGGGGCACTATTCCTCCCACATACCAATGATGGGGCACTATTCCCCCCCACCAATGATGGGGACGCCAATGATGGGACACTATTCCTCCCACTGACGCCAATGATGGGGACACTATTCCTCCCACTGACGCCAATGATGGGACACTATTCCTCCCACTGACGCCAATGATGGGACACTATTCCTCCCACTGACGCCAATGATGGGACACTATTCCTCCCACTGACGCCAATGATGGGGTACTATTCCTCCCACTGACGCCAATGATGGGGCACTATTCCTCCTACTGACGCCAATGATGGGGCACTATTCCTCCCACTGAAACCAATGATGGGACACTATTCCTCCCACTGACACCAATGATGGGGCACTATTCCTCCCACTGACACCAATGATGGGGCACTATTCCTCCCACTGAAACCAATGATGGGACACTATTCCTCCCACTGACACCAATGATGGGGCACTATTCCTCCCACTGATACCAACGATGGGACACTATTCATCCCACTGACATCAGTGATGGGGCGCTAGTCCTCCCACTGCAAAATTACAGTTATGAAGTAGCAACGAAAATAATTTTATGGTTGGGGGTCACCACAACATGAGGAACTGTATTAAGGGATCGCGGCATTAGAAAGGTTGAGAACCACTGCTCTAGTGCTAGAGTAGAGTCATCTGGTATACTCTCTGACCCATTCCAGATGTCAATTGGTACAAGGCAAGGGTGTCCCCTATCACCTTTCATCTTTGCTTTATGCATAAAACCATTGGCAGAAGCAATACGTATACAACCTGACATTGGAGGTATCAAAATAGGTCACAAAACACATAAAATAGGACTATACGCTGACAGCATCGTAACTGCTATTACAGACCCCATTATCTCAATAATAGCATTGCAAAAGGTTCTCTCGCAATTTTGCTTATTATCCATGTACAAAGTAAATGAAGCCAAATCCTACATGTTGCCGATAGCAAGCCCACCAAAATTACATAAACAAATTTAAGCAATCTCCCCCTTCTCATGGGCCACATCACCCCAAATGACATACCTAGGAATCAAATTAACATCTCCCCACTCAAACACATTTTAAGATCAACTTTTACAATCTACGCATTAAAATAACAGAACTATGTAAAGAGTTCTCCAACACCACTATTTCATGGGTTGGGAGAATTGCTATTGTAAAAAGGTATCTTACCATACATTTTATATTTCTTTTGAGCCATCTCAATACCATTACTATCTTCATCCATACAAAAACAATTATCGCTATTAAACACCTATATCTGGGAACACAAAAAGGCACGAGTCAACAAACTGCCACTATACACTTCTCAATCAAATTTAAGTATGAGAGCCCCCAATCTACAATTAGACTATAAAGCAATCGTGTTGGATCAGACACAGCATTGGTGGTCAACTCAAATAGGCAAATGATGGGTACAGATAGAACAGTCCCTTATCCATAGTGGCACTTGTGCTACATTGGGAGCTCTTACTCTCACTCAGAGCCCCAAAGATACTGCCTAGACACAATCAATGTGACTCTCCGCACATCAGTGTCTATTCTACGAACCTCTAAGGGAAATCGCCCTACAATTAATGGCTTCATTCCTCTACTCTCCATATCATCAATTGCACCTGATCTAGAACTTAAATCCTGGTCAAAAGCAGGCCTTCAAAATCTTCACCAACTATATGCCAATGGTACCCTACAAACATTTCAACAACTTTCTGAAACATACTAAATTACGCATAAGGACTTTCAAATATCTAAGACTTTGTCAGGCATTATGCAACCTGGAATACCAAGAGGATTCTCTCCTCAGATCAACTTTTATATAAGAATAGATTCTCAGAAACGAGGTCTCTCATTCATAGATAAAATCCTTTTACATAGTCACCAAGGAAAATTACCAAAGATGCATAAATAGGAAAAACCATTGGGAAACAATTCCAGATTCAAAAATGGCAAACAGCAGGAAACTGGACTAGGAAACTTACCAGATGCATTAACCATTGGGAATCAGCCCAAAAGATATTACACAGATGGTACACAAGTCCACAACATTTGGCAGCACATTCATCCAACTCATACTGGAGGAACTGTAACCAACAAGGATCCCTGTACCATATATGGTGGGAATGTCCACAAATTACTCCATTCTGGTCAGATATCTTCACATTTATAACAATTACAAACTACTCTCCAATTCCTGATCCAGCCCTGGCACTTTTGGGAACAGGAATAGACTCCAGGCCACCACAGGCCAGAACTGTGCTAATGCATATTTTGATAGCGGCAAGATTGAGTATTGCCAGGCATTGGAAACAAAATACAACGCCATCCATTCACACAGTAACTGAAATCCTGAACAAAAACACAGCCTGAAAAAAAAAAAAAAAAAAAACACACACACACACACACCTTTGTTCAAATACACAACTCATCTGCTAAATTCCATAAACACTGGGACTTATGGCTCAAAGATAAATCTATGTACTGTTAGATAAGAAGCTACAAGATGTACCAAACACAACTAGAGATACAGCTACTCCGCTCTATTATCACCCTATTATCTCAAAAAAGATAATATGTAATAATTTCAAATCTCATTCTTTATGCAACCCTCTCATCTCCACCTCACAACCTTCCTTCCTTCTTTAAACAAATGATTTACTGAATATTTCAAACAATGCATACTCAGCAAAAAAAAAAAAAGAAATGTATTGACAGTAATGACTACAACATCATTGTTTAGAAGCTGAATTTTGAACGATATTGAATATGCTCATACTCTGTTATCTATATCCTTTACAAATCTGTAATACATTATTGCGACAATACTGTTATTTGTTATAAACAAAATGACCAATAAAAAATACTTCTATAAAAAAAAAAGATGCAAAGCCAAAAAAAACAAAAAATATAGCCAATAAACAGTATATCTTATAAAACAATTGAATACAAGTATCCCAGACACAGTCAACGAACAGAAGAGTCTTCACCAAAACAAAGCAATAGGGAGAGTCTTTAGATTGCAGAGAGTGCATAGACTCTTCCCAGCACCATGCGATCTATGAAAAAAGCAGGACGTTCGAAAAATTAATGACACCCAAAACTAGAATTCCAGACATATATAAAAAAACAAAGGGCCAGCCCAGAACACAAAAAATTACTATAGCACCTAATGCAAATACCAATAATGCAAAGAAAAAATAAATAAATGAACCCAAAAAAGAGAGGCCAGAGGCCAATGTCCCCAAACAGGACCACAGAGGTAAATAAAGCCCAACTTCAACACAATTTTCTCCCCTTCAGAACACAGAATGCATAGGACTTGCCGTTGTAAATAATTTGGAGGCAGAATGGACCGTTCCATCTATAGCAGCTATCTCTGAATCAAAAGGTGAAAGCACCAGTTTGAATGCCCTCAGTTTTTGGATGGTAGCTTGTGAAATGTCAGCAGAAACTTGAATCCAATATCCACTGCTTTCTTAATTCAAAAGAAATGAGGCGTAACAATTACATTTCAAGGGGGTCCATCAAGCTTTAAGGGGATCAGAGCTCTATGAATACAATCTCCATGTGAATTTAATCAGTATCCAGAGCCGACAATATGAGGGAGTGGGCAAATGCTACAATATCTTTAACCACTTGCCTATCAGGCACTTATACCCCCTTCCTTACCAGGCCAATTTTCAGCTTTCAGCGCTGCCGCACTTTGATTGACAATTGCGCGGTCATGCAACATTGTACCCATATGAAATTTTGATCATTTTTTTCTCACAAATAGAGCTTTTTGGTGGTATTTAATCGCCACTGGGCGCTTTACTTTTTGCGCTATAAATTAAAAAAGTGCAAAAAATTTGTAAAAAAAAAAAAAAAAGTTTCTTTGTTTCTATTATAAAATTTTTCAAACAGGTAATTTTTCTCCTTCACTGATGTGCGTTGATGAGGCAGCACTGATGGGCACTGATAGGCGGCACTGATAGGCAGCACTAAAGGGCACTGATAGGCAGTACTAATGAGGTGGCACGGATAGGCGGCACTGATAGGCAGCACTAATGAGGTGTCACGGATAGGCGGCACTAATATGCAGCACTGATAGGCGGCACTGATAGGTGACACTGATGATGGGTACTGATAGATGGCACTGACTGGCATCACTGCTGGGCACTGACTGGGCACTGACTGGTGGCACTGACTGGCAGCACTGCTGGGCTGCACTGGTGGGTGGGCACAGGTGGGTGGCACTGGTGGGCACAGGTGGGTGGCACTAGTGGGCACAGGTGGGTGGCACTGCTAGGCACAGGTAGGTGGCACTTCTGGGCACAGGTGTGTGACACTGCAGAGTGGCACAGGTGGGTGCACTGCTGGGCACAGGTGGGTGCACTGCTGGGCACAGGTGGGTGCACTGCTGGGCACAGGTGGGCGGAACTTGCGGGTGGCACTGCTGGGCACCGATCATCAGGGCACTGGTGATCAGTGACCCTGATGATCGGTGCCGATCCTCGCTCTGACAACTGCCGCTTCTCGGCAGTACTTTCCTCACGATCTGACAGCGTGAGGAAAGTGCAGCCGAGAACCGGCACTTGCATTTCCCTGTGATCAGCGTGTCATTGGACACCGCTGATCACGTGGTAAAAGGCCGGTATGATTGGCCTTTTACCACATCTCGTGATCAGCTGTGTCCGTAGGACACAGCGATCATGGAGATCGCCTGGGGCGTGCTGGGAGAGCGCGTTCTGGGGGGGACGTCATATGACGTCCACCCAGAACTGGCCGGCCGCAGTGAAGCCGTCATTCGGCTATCTGCGGTCGGCAACTAGTTAATAGTTTCTAGTAGGCCTCCATTTCTAAAATTGCCCCGGCAAGCTCCATTCTCAAAGTCATCTATCTTTGGACCTACAAGATTGCCTTGAAGTTTATACAAAATCGCCAATCTCCCTAAAATCCAGCCTAAGCTCAGAGGTCAAATATAGTGGTAGCTTTTTTCAAATTCCCTCTGAAGCAAAAGGGCATTGACAACAGAAACCCCAGACTAGCGCTGGGGTACATTTGGAGGAGCAGGGGATAGAACTGAACCATTGTGAGTAGAATCATGCCCACTGAGCCAACTAATAAATATCTCCACCATTTCCTTGTCGACTATGGAGTAAGTGTGGGATTCCTAGCCTGGTGACAGGGCCGCAGCCTGAGGGGGGAGATCGGGCAGAGCTGGAGATAGACCCAGGAGCATTACATGTACTCACAGGAGCCTGGGAGCCATCACTGCAGGAGTCAGGGCTGGATGGGGAGAGCTGAGCCCTATGTTGCAAAGGTAGCCTCCCCTCTGCCACCCACCGATCATCCAGCCGGCCATCAAAGGTCCCCCACCTACTCCAAGCTGACCAGGTAAGTAGTCTGGCCAAACAGGGTCAGGATGCACTGTCTATCCCCCCTAAAGCATCGGGAAGGTGCGGAGCAGCGATCACCACTCCAGCCACCTGCACTGTCTATAAGTGAATACAGAAGGTAACTAAGTAACTCATGTATTATTCACAAAACTATCTTTTTGAAATTCTATTAAACCACTGTTTTATTTCTTTTTATTTATTTTTGGGAACAAACATGTATTAGTAACAGTTATTACTGCCGATAAAAAAAAAATAAAAAAAACCCAAACACACACAACAAATTGTAACCGGGGTAAAAGCTATATAATGACTAATGAGCCATTCACCACATCTATTTTTTTCTCACATTATATCCATTTGATAAAATTGTCAGAACAGTGTGGGGAGAGGGTTAAGCATAGTGACGGTTTTTATTATCTGCTTCCATCCTGTACAAAAAAAACTCTGCTATCTCCTCCTCTGAAATAAGCACAGTGCCAATCAAAGCGGCCTGTGGCCTTTCATGTTATGTGGCCGCCTTAGATCACTCACACCAGCTTTGTAACCGCCACCAGAGTAGGAAGCTATGTTTACTGGACAGCTGTACACAGTGCAGAAGACATTTAAAGCCAAACGCATCCTTAAAAGACAAAACAGACATTTTTACTATATAATTTCATTGACTACATTGCATTTGGCTGAAATGTTCTAGTTTCAACAAAATGTTGAAGCAAACCACTCTGTTTCACTTGTCCTTAGCAGATGGAGACAATATTTGGCTGGCCCAGCAGATGGAGACAATATTTGGCTGGCCCAGCAGATGGAGACAATATTTGGCTGGCCCAGCATTAGATTAAGGCCAATTTTGACATGTCCAGAATTTTTGGTGGAATTGCTCCTGTAGTAGGTAGTGTGTATTGTGACTTTGTCCAGTCTGGTATTCCAGTTTTCTATTTATATTGGTTGAGCTAGATGGACGTTTGTCTTTTCAACCTTACTATGTACCATCATGGCAGGGTAGATCCTCAGCCCTCCATTTCCTAATCTGAGAGAATACCATCCCTCATCCTGCCTGTGGAGGGGATCATCTTTGTAAGGCACAGAAATTTACAGTAGCCATTTTGGCCTGTGATATCACCGCTAGCCCCACCCAGGGGCAGACTGACCAATTGGAAACTCGGGCACTGCCTGAGGGCCATGGTCAGTAGGGGGCCCCATGAGATGACCCTGGCACCTTTTTCATAGGCTTTTTTGAGTTTGGCCAAGGACACAGGGGCCCCACAATCCCCTATTGCCCAGGGGCCCCCACGAGTTGTCAGTCCACCCCTGACCCCACCCCTTGGACTACGTGGCCAGAGATTACAGCCTAACCCCCAATCACCGACACCAACCTACACAAGCCACACCTACACCCCCAAACAGACACCTGTCCACCCCCAAACAATGACACCCAAGATTAACAACTAACACCCCCCCAACAACTGACATTCACATCTCAACACCCACTGAAACCCCAGACCAATTCACACCTACCCCAAACCAATTGCTTCCCAGGCTGACACCTGTACCACAGCTACCTACACTGCAAATTGATACCTGCCCACCCCCAACCAATGACACCCCAGATTGACACCCACCACTAACACCCCCCAACATCTAACAACTGACATTCACATCTCAAAACCCACTGACACCCCAGACCGATTCCCACCTACCCCTAACCACTGGCTCCCCAGATTGACACCTGCCTGTCCCAGCTACCTACAACCCAAACCTATACCTGCCCACCCCCAAAACAATTACATCTCAGAATGACATCCACCTAACACCAGGTAATGACACCCCAAACATAACTGTCAACCCGCACTGCAACCCACAACTGACATTGACAGTTCCACAGCTCCTGACACCCAACCATCAACACCTGCCCACCCCCCAGCCATTGACACCTCAGACTACAACCTGCCTACCCAAACACTACCCCCCTGACACCCAAAACCTAAACCTGACAATTGCCCACCTTCACCCCTCACACTTCACATTGAAACCTTCCCAGCCCCAACAACTGACATCCCCAACTGGCACCTAAAAATAACATCCGCTTACCTCAAACTAAAATACACCCAAGAATAAAACTCACCCCAACTACTGTCACTCCAGACTGACAGCATCCCTTTGCCCCCGACACCCTATAAAACCCAAACACTGACACCACATACGGATACCATTTCCACCCCACACAGACATCCTGAACTACTGAAACCTCAGTCATCCCCAAATCCCTGACACCCATCTACCCTCAACCACTGACACCCCAGACTGACACCTACTCATGCCCAACTAATGCATCCCAGGCTGAAAACTGCCCTTCTCATTCACTGACACTCCTCTGACATCCCCCAATGCAATCTGACACCTGTCTCCCAGTCAACACCTCACACTGACACCCTCTTACCCACAACCAATGACACCTCAGAATGAAATCCACTGAACCCCACACACTAACACCAGAATGACCCCCCACACTGACCCTCCCCCACCTCAAACCACTGGCACACCCAAAATGGCATCCACTAAAACCCCATGACACCCTGAATTACTTACAACAAAAATGCTGTGCAATGACTAATAAGTAACTGCATCAATTTCATAGTTCTTGCACTTCAAAGATAAAAATAGCAGCTTCATGCAAATTAGCACAATAGTATATTTAATAATTGCTTGGATTTACATAACAATCAAAGCCCCTGTTCAATGTTTAAACATTTTGGATGGGGTACCCCTTAAAAATCCAAGGAACAGTTTATTACAGTTCAAGAGACAGTGGGTCAGATTTGCTAAGAAACATACAAGATCAGAGAGAAAACGCCATGAAGATTTTAGGCAGGTTGATGTTGCACGATCACAGAAAACCGTGGCTATTTGTGTACTCGGCAAATGAGAGCCCTTAACTGATCTACTAAATCAGATACTCCTGTTTAAATGCATGGGTTACCATTCTGCTCCGGTAAATAAAAGGAGCATGTGGGAGCTCTTGTCCATGGTATTGACACCTCCAGATGATCCACATTGGCTCACAATTGATATGATCCAAAATTATTTAGACAGTATAAAGGTCAATAAAGCACCTGGACCAGATGGCTTACACACGGGTCCTTAAAGAATTGAGCTCTGCCATTTCAAAAGCCATTGTTTCTCATTTTTAGGGACTCTAATGGCTGGCATAGTACCACTGGATTGGTGTAAGGCCAATGTGGTGCCAAATATTTAAAAAAGGGGTCAAAAATCTTATTATAGACCTGTTAGTTTAACTTCTATAGTTGGGAAGATATTGGAGAGTTTAATAAAAGCACATAGATGAGTTTTTGCTCGAAAAAAAGATTAAGCAACAGACAGCATGGATTCATGAAGGACAGAAGTTGTCAAACAAATCTGATTTCTTTATTTGAGGTGAGCAAAACCTTAGACAGAAGTGGCACTGGACGTGGTATACTTGGATTTTGCAAAAGCATTTGACGCAGTTCCCCACACACACAGCTAATGTGTAAGGTAAAGTCTATGGGCTTTGAAAAATCTGTATGTAAATGGATAGAAAACTGGCTAAAAGATCGTATTCAAATGGTTAATGACTCTGAATGGTCTAGAGAGTCAGTGGTGTACCCCAAGGTTCAGTGTTGGGACCCCTGCTTTTTAATATAAACAATTATAGGGTCTGGGATAAAAAAAAAAAAAAAAAAAAAAACCCATTTCAGTCTTTGCAGATGACACCAAGCTGTGCAGTGGAATAACGTCCTTACAGGATGTCTCCAATTTACAAGCCGACGACCTCAATGCACTGCTTAATTGGGCAACTAGTGTGCAAATGAAAGTTTAATGTTGATAAATGTAAGGTTCTGCACTTGGGGGCTTACAATATGTATGCATGCATCATACATACTAGAGGGGGTACAACTGGAGGAAATCAATGGTGGAGAAGGATCTGGGGGTTCATGGTAGATCACAAGCTTAATAATGGCATGCAATGCAAAGCTGCAGTTTCTAAAGTGAGCAAAATCCTCTCTTGTATTAAAAGAGGTATAGACTCCAGAGAGAGAGATATCATATTACCCCGGTACAAATCATTAGTAACACCTCATCTGGAATATGCAGTTCAGTTTTAGGCACCAATTCAAAAAAGAACACTGGGGAACTGGAGAAAGTACAGAGAAGGGCAACTAAAACTG